GAAAAGTCATATTTTTTTTGCGGCACGACCCGCTTGCTTTGTAAATACGCCTTAAACACTATGATAATGCCGTACTTTTGCATCATTGCCCTTTGTTTCATGTTCTTATTGCTGAGAGACCGTTTGTTATTTTCTAGCCTAGAGTATCCTATATTGATCATCGGGAGGAAGAGTATGTCATTCTTCTAGACCCTTTTTTTATAACATATATATATAAATGAAAAATTCATTGTTATAAATTATCTTACTATCTCATCATTACAAAAAAGAAATGGAAAGTATATTACATTTTTCTCATCCACTCTCTCTGCCGTATTCTCTTTCCAAACTAAGATTTTCCCCGTTATTAAACTCTGATCATTGTCATAATAGTTTTTATTTTCCTAGCCTATTGAACCCTATATGTGGCCGCAAATTTACTGTATATGTATTTTTTCTTATCAATATCATCAATTTTTGTAGCTTACATTTCTAATCGAAACTAGATTTCAATTCTTGGAATTATTTATGAATGAATAAGTCGTCTATGGATGGATGGCTGTGTGAGTGCGCGTTTGTCATTCACTATAATCAACACCTAACATACATATACAATTTTTTCCCAACACAATTTATGATTTGTTTACAAAAAAATTGACATATTTTTTTCGTAAATCTAATGAGCGACAGCCGGTCGATCGGGCTTCGTCGCCACGAATTGCATAGTTTTATAAATACCTTTTACATTACAAAACTATTTTTTCAATTGAAAACACACGCACTGTCACACACACACACCCAGTGATACATACATATGTGCATGCATTCATGCACACACAAGAATGTGTGTGTAAATGTCCAAGAAGAAGTCCTCATTCATTGTTGTGTTGTTGTTGTTGTTGCTGCTGTTTAGTGATGAGTAAACTCAGTTGACCACATTTCAAAGTGACGTTGACGCCGTCGACGTTGTCATCATTGCTGTTGATTCTTGACATTTTTCGACGCCGTTGTCTTTGCTGCCGCTGCCGACGTCGTCGCTGTTGTCATTGCCCGTTACAATTGTTGTTTTGCTTTCTGTTTTTGGAGGTGTCGGATTTCCGGTTTTTACAAATCGAACGACACACACACACACATGTGGGCTCATAAATTTTCTGTGTTGCTCATATGTTGTCGTCGTTTGTCTTCGTTTTAACACGAACCGCGCAAAACAAACAACAATAACAACAAAACCAAATATCGACATTTTAATGATGATCATATTTAGCGTATGTTTTTCCTTAATTGTTTTGTTTTGGTTTCTCGTTAATAAATGCTGTCACGGCTGCTGCTGCCGCCGCTCTGCTGTTACGGTTGTTTTTATTGTCGTTATTGTTGTTGTTTTGTATTGCGGTGTGAATTATGAGAGTAGTCTTCTATAATCGATGGTAATTGTTGGGTTTGTTGTTGTTGTTGTTATTCAATGGTGGTTAGGTTGTGCGGTGTTGTGCGGCGTATTGTTGCCAGATTTAGAAGAAAACCATGTGTGGAGGATTATTTATGATATTGGGGAAATGAACGTTGATGAAAAAGTATTTTAAGAACAACATTTTGAAAGGAAGTGTGTACGTACTTTATGTGATTTTTTTTATTCAAAAACACAAAATTTAATTGTGTAAAATTAATTTTTGATAGCAATTGGGGATAACTTCCGCTGAAGAATATAACATACAGCTAAATGGAATTCCTGGAAATAATTATGTGAACAAGTCGTTAAAGTTTTAGTCGTTTTTAAGAAGTTTCTATAAAACCCTCAAACCAAACACAGGTGAGGGTAAAAATATGGAAACAGTTATACTTAGGGAAAAAGCCCCCTTCCACCGATGTTATCGATAAATGATGATGGGAGGTACGTAAAATTGATAAATAGAGTTGGGTCCTTCCTGAACGATCTAGTTCACAGGATTAATTCATCGAAAGGAACGAACGGTACTATGTCCGGTTGTAGGCCTATTAATAAGGTCATCCAGGGAGATCAGTTGGATATCAGCTGCTTCTCAAGTTTGTTGTCAAAATCCATTATTAAGAATTGACTTCCATTATCAAACGTAAACAAAGTCCAAAATTTTCACATAAGACTTGATAATAAACAGTGATCTTGGTGCGCTAACTGAGCTAGAGAATCGTTGGGCCCCAGAAAGAAAAATTCATTATTTTCTCAAATTCAGAGTTCTAGTTATAGACAGAGTAGGGAATATTTTGTAGACGATCTGAAAATCTATTTTTTAGTTCATTTGAAGGCCAATGAGATTTTCAAAAGGCTGAAACAGAATTCTAAAATAGGTACATAGATTCGAAAAGTCAAATAACTGGAATGGGCTATTTGAAGGCCCCATGAAAGTGGAAAACATTGAAAAGCTAGTTTGAAAGAGGTGTAGAAAGGCAGTTAGCCCCTGTATAAAATATTGTATAGGAATTCAAGACCTTGGAATTCAAGATGACCTGAAATTGATTATCTGGAGGCCACTAAATAAGGCACGGTCTTTTTTTTTCAAATTTACTGGAAAAGTCGTCTATAAGCCGCAGAGTCTTAGTAGAATCAGTGACGAAGAACATAGAATTGGAACAGATTATTTTTAGCCATTGAAAAGTTAAAAGCCATGGAGTTAAATGCCAGGTCTTCTATGGAAGGCCATAGAGAAGCTGAAGGCGGCCCGAGTGTTTTCATAGACGAACTGAGTTCTGAAACTTGTTCATAGTGAATATGAGGCCCCGAGGGAATATTTCATAAATGATTTAAAAAGGGTTCATAGTCTTTTACTGAAACAGATAGCCTCTGAGTCTTTATAGACGAAATGAGATCAGAAAAATTGAAACAGATGATCTGAATGCCACTAAGTAATTCAGGAATTCTTTCATTGACTGGTTTCTGAAGCAGATGGTCAAAAATCACTTAATAGACTAAATGAACAAAACATTTCCATAGAGGGTTTCAGGTTAGAGAGTATTTCAAAGAGGATTTGAAGCTCAGGGAGTCGGTGAGTCTTTGTAAAAAAAGCCGGAGACAAGAGATCACATATATAGTTCCATTGACTGATTATCGAAACAGGTATAACAGCCACTGAGACTTCATAGACTCACAGGCAATGACCAGATAACAGAAACATGAGCACATGGGGATGATTTCACGGCAACAGAGTATAGGCAAATTGATAGTCATAATAGGTCACAGAGAAGCTGAGGCCGGCCGTTTTTTTTTTTTTTTTTTGTTTTTGCGATCTGTGTTCTGAAACCTTGGGTGTCTCTTAAAAAAGAGCTATGACTAGAAAGGTTTTCATAAAGCAGTTGAAGCCGAGAAAATCCTACAAGTCTTCGAGAATAAGTCTTTTAAAGGCGTCTGTAGGAGTCTTTGGCAAACAAACTGAAGGCAAAAAATCTGTCATTTAAAAGCTGAAGTCTGAAGCCTTACACTAAGGAGCTGAGGTAAAGGAGTTTTTTTCTGGAAGTATTTCGTTACGCAATTGAAGACAGGGAAGTCTTTAGTAGGGGAGTGATAGCTCAGAGAGCCATATATGAGTAGTTCAAATATATGAAGGAATCTTTCAAATTATTTTTCCGATTTTATGCGGATTTATTTGATATATTTAAAAAAAACCGGTACAATGTAAACATGTTATTATTTCCTTTCGTTAATTGTTCAATGATATTCCAGCATTTTTCATTTGTTCCCAGTCGCCATGTCGCTTATCCCCTTCAACAGTTAAACACAATCTGGCAACTCTCTTTGCTGGCTAATAAATCATGCACAACCAAATTAGACAGACACGAGTTCCGACCGAGAGAGAGAGAGTAATTGATTTATGATTGCCCTCGTGCTCTCCACACTATTTCCTCGTAAGAATACATTTGATGGGACACTTCATATTCGAAAGAAAGTGGACGAAAAAACGAAAATTATGAATGAATTTAAGAAATACTATTATTTTGTTACGAGTATTTTGAATTCATTTGTTGGTGGTTAGGAGGAAATAACACATAATTTGGCTGGCTGATTGGGTTATCATCTCTCTACCACCCCGTCCACACCATGTCAGACTAAAAAAAAATCCGTCTCTAATGCGGTGATATGGTGTAAAATTAGCGTAACTAATTGAAATTTATGTCACGTCATTTGTTTAGTTGGTTTGTGTGACTGTGTGTGCGCCCGATTTTATTATTTTGTTTTCTATTCTTATAAGAATTTTCTTTTCTTTGGCTATTTTCAGAGAATTTCTACATCACAATAAAATAACAAACACATCACGATTTCTCGGAAGACCCAAGGCAGACAATAATAATAAAAAAAGAAAAAGAATAAGAAAACAGATTTGTTTATTTTTTTTTTCTTGGGAGGCGCAGAAGAAACATCCAAGAGAAGAATAAGAAGAAGACGAAACAAAACCAATCACGACAAACAACTAACTAACTAATCCATCGGTGGAGGAGGGGGATGCTGCTCTGTCACTCTCTGCACTACTTGGCAGCTTAGAGAATTGTGTCAATATTCAAAAGGAATTTGATGTGTGGGAGTAGCATTGTCGCCACCAATAATAGCCAAAACAGAGAAAAAGAGACACCGAAGAAAACAAAACAACATCAGACCAGCAGACATCCATCAGCAAAGGTGACAAGAATAAGCAAGCAGCAGCAGATGAAAGCCAACATTTGTCAAGATTCCATCTTCAAAAACATAAACGATATTGGTCGAATATTTCAAAAAAGCAAAGAAAAGCCAATAAGCATTTACCTTTACGCACTTTATTTACTTAATAATTAAGTAAGAGAGTTAACAAAGAGAAAGAGAGTAAGACTTGTTTACATTTTGGCAAAAATAACTCTCTCTTCAATTGAATTTCCGTTAAGAAAAGAAAGAAAGGCAACAAAAAATCGCCAACATTCAAACAACACAGCAACAAAATACAATTTCAACAGCGGGAGACGGAGCCGAAGGAGCGGACGCATCATTACCACCAAACACCGGAACAGCAACCGCCACAATAACAGCAACATCAGCAACAAATATGGGTGGCAATAGCACGGCCGCCTTTAGTATTGGCGGCTATATGGGTGGCAGTGCCGGGAGTACGGGTAGTGCTGGTGGTGCTGTCGGTGGCGGTAATTCCGATTTAGTACCATCCAGCAGTGGCCCTGGTAGCGGTAGTGGCGGTGGCGGATCATCATCCACACCGGGTATACCCTATGCATGCGGCATTAGTTGGGATGAATTTACCGAGCGACATGCCCGTGTTGCTGCTGCAGATTTTGCCAAAGCTTGTATTTGTTTTATAAATGGTGGCCTGTCACCGGACGAGGCTCGTAATCTAACCTTTCGGAATTTTGGTCAAAAATTTATCGATTCATTTGCCGAACACTATGAAAAGGAGTTTCTGCGAAGAAGAAGTAATTTGAAGGTGAGGTGTTTGAGATCATTTTTTATTCGAAATTAATTAAAAAATAATAATTTTCATTTCAGGTCGGCAATGGCGTTTTAGAGGAACCCGAATATACCGAAGAACAACCAAAAATCTTTCCAAAAACATTCTTTCGACGATTGTCATTTAAGGGACTGAGAAAGGGCAAGGTTTGCTATCGTTATTGTATTAACACACACATTAGTATAATTCCGGCGCCAAAGAGAGCGTTGTTATTTATATTGAATGAGAAGAAAATGGGATTTTTCATACAAAAGCTGAGGCAGAGATTTCTCCATAAACTCTACTCCATATACTACTACTACGGGCCTCCTAAGACCAGAGGCCAAATGAAACAAATGATCAAGAAGCCGTCGAAGAATTTAATGTGTTAAATGTCAGATCCAGCCAGGTCTGGGTCACTCTTAAAGTAACCCCCTAACGCCGGGGTGTCATGCTATCTCGTGCCCATCAGCGTCAGGGTCCCGACAGTATTAGAACAACAAGTTTATTCAGGCTTAGTTGCCAAGTCCTTGCCATGGTAAGAGGCTATATGCCATGGTTGACCTCAATCCCTTTATGGAGCCGAATTCAAATGTCAGATCCAGCCAGGTCTTGGTCACTACCTCTTAAAGTGACCCCCTAACGCTGGGGTGTCATGCTATCTCGTGCCCATCAGCTTCAGGGTCCCGACAGTATTAGAACAACAAGTTTATTCAGGCTTAGTTGCCAAGTCCTTGTCATGGTAAGAGGCTATATGCCATGGTTGACCTCATTCCCTTTATGGAGCCGAATTTTAATAAGCAAAAACAACATGGTATGCGATTTTTCGACTGATGTTGCTGTCTTGGCGCCCAAAGTCATAACTCTACAAGGTCAGACTTCAATTAACCCCCACAAATGTTGACGACCCAAGCTAATTCCTTGGACTTCTGGTATGACTCAATTCCTGTTACTCTCGACGACGTGAACGAGAGCTTGGAGAGTAGACTGATCTTCTCCTCAACTTATTAGAGGTAACCGACTCCTTCCGCCTTAGTCAGGAGAGCATCCCGAATCAACTCTGGAATGACTCACCCTTGTCAGACGAGGAAGACATCATGGAAACTACTGTGATTAGCTCTACGGTGACGAAAACGCTAGCTATCCTGGTGTCTGCTCCCTCCGAAGCAAGGTGAGTCCTCGCAGATGATGAGTAGGGGTGCAAACCCTGGCGAGGTTGAGGATCCGCGATGCTGATGTAATGAAATGCGACAATTCCCCTGGTTCCATGGCACACTGCCGAGATCCGATGCCGGATTACAAAATGAAAATCAAGGCCATGTTTTCTATCTGGTGCGACAGAGTGAAACGCACAAGGGCGAACAGGTTTTAAAAACAAACATATTGTGAACTTTTAAACATTATCAAATTATACATCTATGGAGACCTTTAAAAAAATTGAAATATTAATTTCTTGTATTAGATTGTCTAAAGAATCAATTTTCATTCTTTATATATTCCCCATTATATAAATAACAACCCTCATAAAAATTCCAATTTTTTTCTTCTTATTTTCACACATCATTTTGTTTGGGGAACAGTCATTTAAAAACGTTTTATCATTAGAATTTTCTATTTTTACAGACCCTATCACTATTTCACAAAAGTTCCGACGAGGAGGAGGCAACCAAACACAATAAGAAATTTGCCAAAATATTGGTCGAGTGCAAAAAGGAGGGCACCGTCAATAATCTAACACCGGAAAGTTTAGATCAACCGACTGGCACACAGAAATGGGAAAAATGTCGACTGCGTTTGGTGAAGGCAGTTGGCGGATTTATGCTGGAATTTTACATACCACCCAAGGCGGCCAAGGTAAGCTAGCAGCCAATAACAAATTACCTGAAAAAAGTTATTAGTATTTAATCACAATTATTGCTTTGGTTCTAGCCTCGTTGCGGTGTCTTTTGTTTCCTAATCTCGGAGGCTCGCGAAACCACAGCCCTGGAAATGCCCGATCGAGAAAATACATTCGTTTTGAAGGCCGACAACAATATGGAGTATGTAATTGAAGCTCAAAATGCCGAAGATATGCGTGATTGGTTGGACACCATACGGCTGTGTATGCGTACACCACCCACACAACAACCTACCACAGATACCGAAGTAATGGCCGCTGCCATGCAAGCATCACCTATTATAATTAATCCACAGAGTGCAGTGGCCGCCGCCGGCGGTAACACAGCTGGTCTACTAAATGCCGTACAAAATCCCCAGTATCATCAACAGAATGCCATGGGCTCAAATGGTAATGTGGCGCCGAGTAGTTCACTTTCTGAAAATGCTCTCTCTTCCATTGCGGCAGCAAATGCGGCGGGTCTTGGAGGAGGTGATTCCATCAATGACATTGCCTGTAATCCTGCTGCACACAACATCTCCGATGTACCACATCGGCGTGGCGAACAACGTCTTTCCTCCTCCAGCAACATCGAACCATGCGACGATTTCGTAGACCCCGATGCGGATGTAAATATTGCCGATGTGAGTAATGAAATGCGACAATTCCCCTGGTTCCATGGCACACTGCCGAGATCCGATGCCGCCCGTATGGTATTACAGAATGAAGCTCAAGGTCATGGTTTCTATCTGGTGAGACAGAGTGAAACGCGCAAGGGCGACTTTGTTCTGACGTTCAACTTCAATGGACGTGCCAAACATTTACGCATGACACTCTCCGATGATGGCCAGTGTCGTGTACAACATTTATGGTTCCCATCAATACAGCAAATGTTGGAACATTTCCATGTCAAGCCAATACCATTGGAATCGGGTGGTACTTCAGATGTTACCCTTACCAAATTTATACATAATCAAGGAGTTCCTTATAATATGACGGCGACAGTATCATCACCAGCCATGGCACCTGATATTAACGGTGGTGGTGGTAATATAGCGCCATCAGCAATTGCGGAAACGGCAAATACAATAACAACAGGTTCCAGTTCATTACCTCCAACGCAGCCACAACAGCAACAACAACAGTCAACGCAACAACAATCGCAGCAGCAACAAACACAACAACAAGATCCATCACCGAGACATGTGAGATAGCCTAAATTTTGGAGTCAATTCAGTGTCAGTGATGATTTTTTATTTTTATTTTCATTTGTTTTTTTGTTATTTTTCTTTTGTTTTCAACGGCTAGATTTGAAGGGAGGAGGGAGGGTTTTTTTTGGGTAGGCGAGTAATTAGTTTGGAAGTATTTATTTGCGAATATCAAGGAGTCTTTATAGAATCTTTAAGATGAGCTGATGGTCAGAGCATTCTTATAAACAAGCTGAATGATAGGAAGTCCTTTGAAGCGAGAAAGGTTAAGAAATTTCTATAGATTTCTATAATTGAGCATACGGGATTGCCAAGGATTTTTTAGTAGTAGTAGTTCAAAGTCAGGAAGTCTCTCTATATGTGAGCTGAATTTCAGGGAGTCCCGATAGACGAGCTGATGGTCAGGCAATCTGTATCGAAAAACTACAGTTCAGAGAAGTTCTAGAACTGAACGTCAGGGGGATTATAAACAAAACAGAGAGGTCAGAAAGTCTATGCAGACGGGCTGAAGGTCAAGAAGTTTCTGTAGATAAGCTGCAGACCAATGAGTTTCTACAAGCCAGTCGAAGAACTAGTATTAAGGGCAGTAAATCTATATAGGCGAGTGCAAGAGCTGAAAAAAATTCTTTGTAGAGAGAGCTAATAAAGCTGCAGAACCCATCTAAGACGAGAAATTGAAATGTCTGGATAACTATATAGGAGTTGAAGGTCAGTTACTCGACCATTAGGTCCTCTCTTCCATTATAATTAGATTTTTATAAAGAGGACAATAAGGTCATTTTTGCTGAACCCCAGAATCCTATCCTATTAAATACAAAATTATCCAATAAGGGCACAAGATCGTATACAAGATCAGTAAATCTTGTAGAAGACCAGTAGATCTTCTCATGGAAGTATGCATCCGTATAAAAGACTAATACGTCTATGTGAAGAATACCAATGGATCTTTCGTAAAGAATACCAATAGGTCTTCATGGAAAAGGTCAATAAGTCTTCTAAAGAAGGCCAATAAGTCTCCGTAAAAAAGCCCAATAAATCTTCGTAATGAAGGTCAAAAGATATTCATATAGAATATCTGTAGATCTTCACATAGAAGACTTCGTATTCATATGGAAGATGAGTAGGTCTTCATATAGAAGAGTAGTAGGTCTTCATCTAGAACCAATAGGACTTCATATAGGTGAGTTCTTCGTATAGAAGACCATTAGGTCTTCATATAGAAGGCCATTATGTCTTCATATAGAAGGCCATTATGTTTTCATATATAAGACCATATGTCTTCATATAGAAGACCATTATGTCTTCATATAAAAGACCATTAGGTCTTCATATAGAAGACCATTAGGTCTTCATATAGAAGACCATTAGGTCTTCATATAGACGACCATTAGGTCTTCATATAGAAGACCATTAGGTCTTCATATAGAAGACCATTAGGTCTTCATATAAAATACCATTAGGTCTTCATATAGAAGACCATTAGGTCTTCATATAGAAGACCTAATGAGCTTCAATTACATACTCATATAGAAGGCCATTATGTCTTCATATAGAAGGCCATTATGTTTTCATATAGAAGACCATTAGGTCTTTATATAGAAGACCTTTAGGTCTTCATATAGAAGACCATTAGGTATTCATATAGAAGACCATTAGGTCTTCATATAGAAGACCATTAGGTCTTCATATAGAAGACCATTAGGTCTTCATATAGAAGACCATTAGGTCTTCATATAGAAGACCATTAGGTCTTCATATAGAAGACCATTAGGTCTTCATATAGAAGACCATTAGGTCTTCATATAAAATACCATTAGGTCTTCATATATAAGACCATTAGGTCTTCATATAGAAGACCTAATGAGCTTCAATTACATACTCATATAGAAGGCCATTATGTCTTCATATAGAAGGCCATTATGTTTTCATATAGAAGACCATTAGGTCTTTATATAGAAGACCTTTAGGTCTTCATATAGAAGACCATTAGGTATTCATATAGAAGACCATTAGGTCTTCATATAGAAGACCATTAGGTCTTCATATAGAAGACCATTAGGTCTTCATATAGAAGACCATTAGGTCTTCATATAGAAGACCATTAGGTCTTCATATAGAAGACCATTAGGTCTTCATATAGAAGACCATTAGGTCTTCATATAGAAGACCATTAGGTCTTCATATAAAATACCATTAGGTCTTCATATAGAAGACCATTAGGTCTTCATATAGAAGACCTAATGAGCTTCAATTACATACTCATATAGAAGGCCATTATGTCTTCATATAGAAGGCTATTATGTTTTCATATAGAAGACCATTAGGTCTTTATATAGAAGACCTTTAGGTCTTCATATAGAAGACCATTAGGTATTCATATAGAAGACCATTAGGTCTTCATATAGAAGACCATTAGGTCTTCATATAGAAGACCATTAGGTCTTCATATAGAAGACCATTAGGTCTTCATATAGAAGACCATTAGGTCTTCATATAGAAGACCATTAGGTCTTCATATAGAAGACCATTAGGTCTTCATATAGAAGACCATTAGGTCTTCATATAGAAGACCATTAGGTCTTCATATAGATGGCCATTATGTCTTCATATATAATACCATATGTCTTCATATATAAGACCATTATGTCTCAATTTGTGAGCTATATGGGTGATAAGGAGAATGAAGAGTTTTTAGATGTGATTAAGGGGAATGCTTAAAATTTAATCAACAGTCGGTATTTTTGCAGACGCCGAGGTGGTAGCCAAGGATTCTAAACGGATTAAGTTAGATTTATTCATTATTTTATTTCAAAATTTGAGATTTCTTTATCTTTGTTTTTTGTTTTTCTTCATTAAGTGGAAATTGCACTCTAAATAATACCATTCTAAATAAGTTTTGTTTTTGGTTAGTTTCCTTGGAATTTTGCGGCATGTTTTCTTAACGCGTGTGTTTGTGTGTGTGTGTATAGTAGTGTTTATTAGATCTTATCTACTATCCTTCTTAAACTTCCGCTACCAACAATTAGATATAACCTCATTTTCTTTTCTAAGTAGTTGAAATCAGATTCAAATTTGTTCTTCTTCGACACTTACATTTTTCCAACTTCCTTTTCAAAACTTCTTAACTAATGAAAATGTTGTTGTGTTTTTCCTCTTCTTCTTATAGTCACAGGATGTTATCTCCATGAATTGTAGTGTACGCTTAAAAACAAACGAAATTGATTTGGCATTATTATTGGCAGCCGGTGTGGCCACACGTCATTGTCAGCAGCAACATCACAATCATCCTCAACAGCAGCAGCAAAGCGCCGCCGCTATACAGCAGCAAGCATCAGCTGGAGCAGCGGCGGCAATAACATCATCGTCATCATCAAATGTTGCTACAACATATGTTGCAGCAGCAAACGCTGCAAAAACAACAACAACGACAATAATAACATCAACATCTAGTGGTACAACAACAACAATCAATCCTTCATCGGTTACATCACAAATGCATGCTGCTGCAAATACCATTCCAACCGCTGCCACAAACTCACCTAATGTTGCCACAACAACACAAAATCATCCTTCACAACATTACAATTTCGACTCTGATTCGATGCCATTTGCCGAACAGAATAATACGTTAATGGGTGGCGGCGGAGCCATTGTTAACCTACCACCCGAAAATATACGAGACTCAGCATCACCCACCCAAATGATGATGGGTGGCGGTGGTGGTGGTATGTCAAATGCGGCCGTGGCTGCTGCAGCCGATCTAAGTCAATATTTGAGAGCTTCAAGTGTTTCGCTACAATCACAGGCCACTATTGGTGGTAGCAGCGGCAGTGGCGGAGGAGGTGGTGGCATGGGCGCTGGATCTTCGGGCAGTGGTGGAAGCATGGGTAGCAGCAGTGGTCACCTAACCCACCAACAACGCCAATATCAACAACACATAACCGCCACCAGTCCATACAATGTGGATACATCAAATAGTCCAGCCCAAAGTACAACACCTCGAGCTGTTGATAATCAATATAGCTTTGTGTAAAAAAAAACTCGGCATCGCCACCCTGGATTCGATGTGGGAAGTTAGAATTAGTAGGCAAATGTGATGAGGAGGAAAAGATATACATATAGTTTGATTATGTATGTATTATTTTGGTTTAGTTTCTATAACCTAAAAGAAAAAAATAACTCAAATTTTATTTTAAAAAGGGGCTTGAAATTCCTACTGGACCCAGATATGAGAATTGCCTGGATTAAGGTTGGTTTAAATGTTAGGTATTTGAAGCAAGTTAATATATATTTGCCAATTATATTGTTTCCATTTTCCAATATTTCCAGCCATTTAAAAAAGTGAGGTTATAAAAAAATTGATTTTCAATGTTTCTAATGTATCCAGTCTTAAATATCCATTCAAAAGTGAGGTTATAAAATTTTTTTTTTTAATTCCTTTGGTTACCTCCGTTTTCACTGTTTTACCAATTCTATATTCGATCTAAATTAAATTTTTGGTTTAGAGTCTTAAGATCAAGGCTTTGGAATTTTGTCTCATAACCTCAAACCTTGAAATTCCAATTGGCGCCAGATATGAGAAATGCCTGGATATAGGTTGATTGAAGAACATTTTTTTTATTATTATTAAATCTTTATTTATTTTGCATTTGATTGCAGTAAATGTATATTTGCGGATTATATAGTTTACATTTTCCAATATTTCCAGCGATTTAAAAAAAGTGAGGTTATAAAAAAGTTTTATTTTTTTTTAATTCGTTTGAATACCACCCGGTTTCATTGTTTTGCCCATTCTTTCATAATGAGGTTTACAAAAGGGATGTTTGCGAAATTATCCAGGATTACATTTGTGGAGTAGACTACTAGAAAATTTTACGTTATGAAGGGAAAAACGTAATTTTTAAAGTGAGGTTATGAAATAAGATTCTTAAAAAATCGAATTTTAGAGTCTTAAAAAAATGCCTGGTGAGGTTATGAAAATATATATTTTTTATTTGTGAGGTTTACAAAGGGATTGAAATTTTGGGCCTACTACTAGAAATATGAAGGAAAAGAAGTTGATGAAACTCATTTTTATTTTAAGTGAGGTTCTATGTTTTTTTTAATAAAATACTAGCAAGAAATGCTTATAGCCCACTACAAGCATGGCTAGCCCATAAAAATGTATATCGATGAGTATTTACAAGTCGAAACATCAGAAAAGGCCTTGGAATGAAATCAGGAAACAGTCTATTTCAGGAAGCTTATAAAGTAAGTCTCAGCGAACATAAGGGAGTCTCAATAGACGAAAAAGAAGTTCAACTGAACAGCTGGAAAATAGCAAAAACTCTGGGACTCTGTGTGTTAAAGATCTGAAAATCTATATAGCCAAGCTAAAGGTCGGTGAGCTTAAGGTCACGGTGTCTATATAGGCGAACAGAAGATCAGAAAGGAGTATGAACGTATATACGAGCTGAAGTTCAGGTTGTATGTATAGACGTGCTGAATGTCAGGGAGTCGGTGCAGATTAGCTGAATATTAGGAAATGTGTATAGATTAGTTAAATATGAGGAAGTCTGTATAGGCGAGTCTTTATAGATGAGCTGACGACTGAAGGACACGGCGTCTATATAGACAAACTGATATTCGGAGAGCTGATATTCTTTATAGACGAGCTGAAGTTCAGAGTTCTGTATAGACGAGCTGAGATGACAGAGTGTCTGCATAGGCTATTTGAAGGTCAGAGACAAGAGGTGGATGTCGTAGTTTGTTGATACGAGCTGTACATCTGTATAGGCGAATCTTTATAGACGAGCTGACGATCTGGAAGTCCCCTCTTAGACAAATCTGAAGTTCAGGGAATCTTTATAGACGTGCTGAAGGTCAGAAAGTCTGTATAGACGACTGAAGGACACGGCGTCTATATAAACAAGCTGATGTTCGGAGAGCCTGTATAGGCGAATTCTTTATAGAGGAGCTGAAGTTCAGAGTTCTGTATAGACGAGCTGAGCTGACGGAGTGTCTGTATAGACTATCTGAAGGTTAGAGAGTTTGTATAGACGAGATGGATTTCGTAGTTTGTGGATAGGAGGTTTACGTCAATACAACTATTGTCTTAACAGTTTTGTTTAGAATTTTAGATAAATAACCAAAACCCCAAATTTTCAAAAAATATTTTGAAATTGTAAAATTTTTTTTACCAGTCTTTGCATAAAGTTAAAAACAAATTATTCTACACAATTATTGTAGTAACATATTTTATGATTTTCATAGACCATAACCTCACTTTTTTTAAATATCGATAAATTTTAATTTCTTTTTTTCACTCATGGAAATCAATAAAAAAAACTGTTGTTCTTTACTATTCTACAAACAGTTTGTTAAATTTTTCTAAAATTCAGAAAAAAACATTACTTTTTTTTATAAAAATATTTGTACAATTTTTTTAAAAGTCATGAAAAAATTAACACAACCTTTCCTTTTTTATAAAAAATATTTTTTCTTAAATTCCATTGTTTGGATGTATTTGTATTTATTTATTAGATTTTCCGAGAAAATTAAAAAAAAAATACCATAACCTCACTTTTTTTTTAAATATCGATAAATTTTAATTTCCAATTTTAATCATGAAATTTAATTAAAAAAGGTTTGTACTCTGCTATTGTATAAACAGTGTGTTTAATTTTTTTAATTCATAACCTAACTTTTTTCTATAAAAATATTTTTCCAAACCTACTTTTTTAAATGTATTTGTGGCTTTATACCCAAAATCTATTACTCTTGTTGTCTAAAATGCATAACATTTTACCACCACACACCAAAATCCATAATGCAGGTTTGCAGGGTCATTTAACATGAAATCCAACACCTCTAAATTTATCGGTGGAAATTATGTATTTTTATTTTCATCATCATCATAGCGATGACATAGACATATAAAAATAATTGTAAACTTTCATACCAAAATGATTGACCAAGTGTTCTTAGAATTCTTTTAATTATATAATTTGATTTTTTTTTCTTTTTTGATTTTAAATAGACTACCCAAATTTTGAGAGACTTTTATGTGCCATTTGTTGAAATATTTAAAAAAAATGAAAATAATATATTTTAATTATATATAGGATTATATATGTATTTTTATATTAGTTTCGTTTTTTTATTATTTTTCAACAAAACATTTTAATGCAATTCTTCCTCTTCCCTACAAGAAAAAAAGCAAACAAAAGTAACAAAAAAAATCAAAACTAAACAAAAAACTTATTAACATTGCGGGTTTTTTTTATAGCTTACAAATTACTCTATATAATGCTAATGAAATTTCAATGTAAATTATAGCTTCCATATATAAAAAAAAAAATAATGATATACAAATACAACAAAACTAAAAGGTAATATTTTCCTTTAGTAAAGCCAGCGCTTTGAGACTGTATAGATTTTGAAATCTTATCCCAAAATATTGTTTTGTAATTTCTTGCTAACAGACCTATTTGTGGGATGCTTTTCAAAATATTAACTCAATGTTCTTCATTATTGTGTGTTCAAATTAATAACAACAACAACAACAAAAGATATTGATTTTCAACGAAAACTTACATTATTGAAATATTCAATCAAGAGTTTATTTTTGTTTTCCTCTTGTGTAAATAATGCCCAATTACCTATCTTTTATTTTTCTCCATCTCACTCTTTTCGCAAAAATATATTTAATTTTTATATTTTGTGTAATATTTGCCACAAACAAAACCGAAAAGCAAAACAGAAAAAAATAAAAAAAGACAAAATAAAATCTATAAAAAATCAATAAATTATATCTAAAAAGTATAGATATTCAATATTTATTTAAGAAAGTATAACTTGTTCTTAAAATTATAAGGCTTTAAATACAACAACAAAAAAAAGAAGAAAATTAAGTAAACGAAAAAACAAACAATACACAACTTCTATTATACATTATCCTATATATATATTAATATTTAAAAAGTAATATAATTATTATTATTTAACTTACACATATAATGCATATATATACTATACATAAAATTATATATTAAACACGAGAATAATTTTTTTTTAATTATGCATAGATAAACAAAAAACTCTAAATTTAAATATTTATTTTTTTTTTTAATTTATAACTAAGTTATTATTTGTGTATTTATAATTATGTTATGTACATTTCCTAATAATAAAAATAATTCTAATTAAATGAAAATGTAATTTATATTTAAGATGAAAAGAAAAAAAAAAACAAAA